TCAACATCAACATCAACATCAATATCCAGGCCTGTGGTGTACTAATGATACTACACTAGGAGACAAGAATATGTATAGTAGCAATTACATAAAAGTATTTACTTGGCAGACTTAGTGACCTAAAAGTTAGCTTCTGGGCAGAATTAGTAGTACTAATACTGGTATTTTGGGCGCACTGCTGCTCGTACTGTCTCTCCAGGAATATCAGTACTCAGTACTCAACTTCATAAAATAATACAGGCCTGTGTACTACTAATGATAGGAGACAAGAAAAAGTTAATTCTCCCCCAACATCAAATATAAAGTTTATTAGCATGGTACAGTTTTCTTTCTTGGTGCCATGGGACATATGTGATGCTAAATATAGTCACCTAACAACTCCTTTTTCTGACAAACTTATGGCCCTCATATTGTTTTTGATCAAAGTATTTTTTCCAAAATATTCAACTTTCCAGCAGTCCAGGACGAGTCACAAGGCTGGCAAGCTACTAGTCTTCAGTTGATTCCTTTAGTCTATTGCAACTACTGCTACCTGAATCAGTAGCACTTGCTACTAGGGACCATCAAGGTGCTCTTGTTGCTACAGTTCTGCTGTTTGCAGTACTTAGGTAGTTGAAACTGTATGCCTCTATGGAATGTACTACTGTTTGTTGCTTCCATTCTTCAGAGGTGCTTGCCCCCGTTTGCTACAGATCTACTATTGCACCAGTACTATTTAATCAGTATTCTTGCTGTTGAGATCATTGCACTGGGCCAACCGCATCATGCCTCTTTGGAACATACTACGACAACTGTTTGTTGCTTCCATTCTTCAGAGGTGCTTGCCCCCATTTGCTGCAGATCTACTATTGTGCCAGTACTTAATCAGTATTGTTGTTGAGATCATTGCTACAACTGTTTGTTGCTTCCATTCTAAAGATGCACTTGCTCCCATTTGCTACAGATCTACTGTTGGGCTAGTAGTACTGAATTAACAGTACTAGTAGCAGTACTGTGGATGAGCCTGCTGCTGTTAGTGGTAGTTACTAGTTTAGAACAAGAAATCCTGTAAGTATGGAATACTCCCAGGACGCTGTGTTTGCATAAGGCTAATTACTCAGGACGTTACTCTTGTCATCACATTTACTGCTGCAACTACTAGTACTACTAGTTATTGTATCTTGTGGGGACTTGAACCCAGCAAGTACAACTTCAGCTAACAAGCTGCTCTACCACTATTACAAGAAACTATTACTAGAACTGACACCACATGCAATCTATAGACCTTTTTTTAATACTTGCTTTTTGCTTAAACCAGACAAACAATCCACAACTGAAAAGGTAAGGCTACTAGCGCAACTAGACTAGCGCAATAATACTAGCGTTTGCCCAGGAACCGAAAACACTCGTTGAAGGACCATAACTTCTTTGTCCATAATAGTAGGAGTAAGGTGAATGGTACCATATGTAGCATTACTAGTACTACATTCCCCTCAATACACCAATAGACAGGAGTGTACCTTTCTAAGAAAAACCTCAAATAGTAGTGAGTATTGTTGATTAAAAATAGTTATTCAATTTGTAGGGGACAAGAAGTACTAGAACTGCACACAGTATACACAGTGTGCACACCAGTAGATGTGTACCATACAGGATTCCTCTTCCACTCTAGATCTCCCTCTCGTGCCTTGCTCTTTCCTTGACCGAGGTTCCCAGAGCAACCATCAGTGAATATACATGCATTCCTCAGCAAAACGGAATAGAAAAGGCGATGGCCTCAGCGCAAGACACCGGTGGAAAGTTCCCCAGTCCTGCGCACAGARGATTCCTCTTCCACTCTSGCTGCGCTCGTTCATTGCTCGTTCTGTTGCTGTCGGTGCCGTGGATGCTTTTGGCGGGGACAGCCATCGGGAAGGCTGTTCTTGCCACGAAACGCAACAAGCAACCTTTCTGTTTTGGAACATTGTGGGGTGCCGAGAAAGGGAGAGCACCCCGGCCAAGCCCCAGAATGTGTCAAGAGCGACAGGCGCGAGTGAAATGTWTCCGCATGCTGCAGAATTCCACCAATGTCTCGCTGCACGGGGTGGAAAGATTCCACGGATGCTTCCGTGGTGGATCTKTGTCGACCGAGTGGGCAATTGCTTTGTGTGGTAGATGGTGTTGCCGATTCTGGGAGCCTTCGGTTTCGTCGCTGCCTTGTGGCATTGGCTCCTGGACACCGGGCAGAGGAAAGAACAGACCATCGCATCGTAGTGGGAGAATACTGTTTGTTGTGTTCGTACTGTAAGAGCCGGTGCTGCTACCTTTGCAATTGTGTAGATCACAAGTATTCGCATCCGYCAGTGCGTCGTTTCCGTTGTTCTTGAGGTGATGGGATAGGCCAGTCTGCTCTCTTCTGTGATGTGTCGGTATTTGGTGTTCGTCGTCACCGTATCCTTGCTTGCATATTAGTTGCAATGATATTTGATTTGATTTCATTCCATTCGATGTTGTATTGTGCTTTTGCTTTTACTGGCATGCACACTTTATTTAGGAATAATATGGATATTATCCATTCTCCAACATGCTTTGATTTCTTCCGCTCGGTTCSGCTTCGCTTCGCTGTCCTCCATGTTTCTATAGCTGGAGAGAGGACAGTTACAAGGGTACCGGAGGTGTGCCTAGCTTTCCGAGCAAAAAGAATGCGGTGGCTACACCTCATACTCTACCCATTAGTTTCATCGAGAACCAGAGAAAGAGTTCTCGAACCATATCACCAACGTTACCGTTGTTAGGTGTATGAGATGACTTCAAACTCTTGGATCTGAAGAAGTCTCTCACTAATTCTCACTCAACCCGAACAGGGGTCATTTCCAAATATGGCCAAAGGTCATAAATACAGTAACATTTTATGTTGTAATGACCAGAGGTGTCAGCACAATTTCGCTCTCGTCGTACTTCCCGAACCAAAACAAAAAGTGATGTAAGTATTCTACAACAGTACGATAAGCTCAGTTCAAAAATACGTATCTTCAAGCTTCTCGTTCTGCTGTTCTTCGTAGAAGTATTAGACATCGTGCATACGTTTTCTAATCTTTAAGAAACGTACTAGACAGATGACACCTGAGTAGGACACCTGATAGCCCTTCGGACACACGAAGAAGAGGCTCCTGGTTTTATATGGAAAAAATACGAGGCACGAATTTCCCTAAAAACTTCAACAACGAAATCCCACACAAACGACACACAAAATCCTTCCAATCGATAACACAATATCATATTTCTCAGTATTATTTGTTTATTTAACTTCAAGCCATGGGTACCATCTTCTACTCTGATCTGCAGCCGTATGACGAACCAAATCTCCCGTGGGCGGATGGAGAGATGCCTGATCGTTCCACGTTGAATCCTTACGGATTTTGGAATGGACACTACGTCAAGAACGAAGAGCCCTTGTGTCGTTATACCAGGCCACTCTACTCATGTAGCTTGTGCGGTGACAATACTACAGCAGATCCTGTTGGATTTGAGAAATGGGCCGTGATAATGGCTCATTGGTTGCCATTTCCAATCGGCGTTTTCGCCTTGTGGTGTATCTGGGATAAGTCCGATGTCCTGAAACAGCGAATCTTTTGTCCGTTCCTCCTTATGGTATCAGTTTTTTTCCTAGGTCGTAAGTACATTATTTTGCACATTCGATCGATTTCATTGTATTCGAATACCTACCTTTTCGCCTCTAACCAGATATTTCTTTTCATTCTCTCATTTTTTAATTTTTTTTTAAAAGTTGGGAGTATGGCCGAAGCTGACAATCACTCATTTGCCATGAACTGGAATGCTTGCTACGATTCTTCAGTAACATTTTCAAAGTTGTACTTCCTCTTCTTTATTGGTTCAGGCTATTCTTTGATGATGATTTCTCTCAGGAAGGCAGGTGTACCACTCGTACGCAAACCTTCTGGCGCTTGCGATACGTTCTTCTTCGTGAGCGATTGGATTTTAATTGTCTTCACCGTCTTTACCCCAATCGTTTGGGCGGTTGCACCAGGGCCAGCGAATACGATGTTCATTGTAACACAGTCTGTGGCTGCGATAGTTGGTATTCCTCGCCTCTACACGAATCTTGGCCCCTCGAAACTGCATCTTGTCGTAGGAACTGCGTCTCAATTGGTTGCTGTGGTTGGAGCCGTTCCGGTCGACATGGTGTTGACGGCTAGTGGAAATCAGTATTGGCATGTTGTTCTGGCCTTTACATTCGTATTGGATGAATTCGGTATCGCCTACTGCATCTACAAAGTGCTGGATCCAAAAGCACCAGAGGCCGGAAGAGGAGAAAATGCACCTTTGATTTGATTGGATTATACTTCATGGTAGTGACCCATCGAAATAATTTATGTTACGTGTTATCGGAAATGATCGACGGAAGAAAATCACGAGCATTTTTCGAGTACTCTATTTTAATTAATAATAGCGTTTTTCAGTTTGTTTAGTATTTTGAGCGGCAAGAGACCGTATCTCACAGAAATAATAGAATGAATGCCATCTTGTAGGTTTTGATGTCGCTGTAGTCCATAACTTTCCAGCGGACGCTTGCCCACTTCTTTTTTCTTGAACATCCGGATTTGTATGTTCGTCGCAGTGCGTACATAAGATAAAGCAGATACCCTCAGCCCAAAMAATCCGGGTAGCAGCAGCCACAGCACGGAGCCTAGCTCACCGAAAGTGTTTTTGACGTATCTTGTTTTTTGCTCRTTTTTCGTGCTCTGCACTCGCGAGATATATTCGGATTTTTGGCAGATCATATACGGAAGCAGGCTGGGCAGTRGCGTGATTCGCTGGTTGTTGTCATCAAGGTCTCTCGGGTAGAATTGGATGCAGTTGGGTACCCTAAGGCATCCATTGCGTTCGAGCGAATTTCACAGATTTCTATTTTCTTCGATCTTATCACTCCAGGCTGCTATGCATTGATGCCATTGCATAGTGCACCAAAAGTAGCATGTTTGTCACCCTTGCTGCCACATTCCAATCACCTAGGGGCCGATCAAAAGGAGATGCGGAATACATCTAACATCCAAGACTTCTTTCTCACTCGTGGCGCATGACAATCGCCGATGTGCAATGTGCAGGCCGGATCCAGATGCACCGCCAAAATTACTCCCCCACCTCTTGCCATCGACCCCGAACCCCATTTCGCCTGGTTTTTGCTCCTCGGCCCCGGCGTCCCTCTTTTGGTTCGCCGCCGCCGCCATCCCGGTGCAAAAGCCCGTGGCGGTGGCATGGTCAAACGGTGACTCGCTCGGGTCCGACAAACGAGCGGAAGCTACCGGCCCGGGGGACCGAACCGCTGCTTTGGTCGTCGCGTTGCTCACACCGCGTTGGTAGCGACCGTTGCCCCGGTGGAACCCGGTGCTTGGCGGTGGGGCCGCGGCCGTAGGCATCGAACGCACTTCTCGAACCGGTTCCCTGCCCGCGAGTGTGGATCGCTTCGGAAGGTCGGCCGGTGGGGCTGCGGCGAACCTTCGACTCGCTGGGTTTGTGTTCGCAAATCGCGTCGTCGTGGTCTTCGTTCCATAGCAACTCGAATTCGTCAAAGTCGACCCCGCTGTACTCGTCGTCGCTGTCGCTGTCGCTGTCGCTGTCGCTGACCGGCTGGCGTTGTTCAATTGGTTGTTGCCGTTGCAATTGCCATTGTTGCTGCCGCTGTGTTGTCCGATTCCAGAAAACGCTTTCGAGATTGCGGTTGGCGCAGGCAGGAGATCCGCTTTTCGGGCGGTATGGTTTCATCGTTGCGTGTGCTTGTTCTTTCGGAAGCACGGCTTTGCTGCGGCGATTCCCGAGCAAGGCATCCTCCCCTTGGTGTTCCTCGCGACGGATCTTCGAGGAAAAAAGGTGCCCTTTCCTCCCAGCGGCGGACACCAACGCGTTGCCGTCGTTGCTGTTTTCGAGTTTGTTGGCAAGACAGTCGTCGCCGACGACGAGGCGAATGCCTTGGTCTTTGTTCTTGATCGAAGAAACGTTCCCACGCGTTCTCGACACCGCGGTTGCGCTGCTTGTTTCCCCCGAGGTGGGTGTGGCGGTTGTTTCTCTTGCCACTTCTTGCTGCTGTTGCAACAGCCGCCTGAGTCTCTCTTCCAGGGCCGCTTCGCGCTCCAGGGTGAGTTTCAGCTCGTTCGACAGATCTGCCACCAGCTGCGACGCGGTCTCCACCGAGGACTCGAGGCGTCGGACGTAGGCAGCGGTGTGGTATTGGGTGCCACACACACCACCACTCGGCGGTTCGGTTGCTGCCACGTTGGTGGTGGTGGTATTTTCGGACCGAACCAACGGTCCCAGCGGCTCCTCTCCGGAGGGCCCCTGTTCCTCTTCCGTTGCACCACCGCAACCAGCCTCCCCGTAGTCGTCGTCTTCGCCGTCCTCTCCCGCTGAGTGCAGCGCGAGCTCGTTCGTGAGCTCCTCGATGAGTTCACGAGAGATCTTGTCCTTGGCTCGGAGAGTCACCAGCGCGTCTCTCATGCTCCCCCGGACGGTTTCGGAGACGGCCAGCTCGGCCCGGAGGGTCTCGTTCTGGATGCGCAGCTCCCGGACCGCTTCCACCGATGCCGGAACGGCGGCRCAACGGCTGGTGATTTCCGTGAGGTGCGGCGGCTCTGTGTCTCGGAGGGATGCCAAAGCAGAAGCCGGTGGCAACAGCGTCCCCTTCCCATCCATCGTTTGGGCGGCTTGCGTCCCTTCTCGTTCCGCTTCCAGGACCCAGATCCGATCCATCAGCGAGACGACCTTTTCCTCCAGCCGCCGAACCGAAACCGGTTCGCTTGGATTGTTTTGCGCCGGCACTCCCGGTCGCCGCTGGCTCGCACACAAGATCTCCGATGGGTGGTGCTCCCTGCTTCCGAACGAACGCGTTTCGGTTTTGCTTTCGATTTTCCTGTCGCTCCGGCAGGGATTGCCTCTTTTTTCGATGCTGATGCTCMCGCTCCCGGGGATGGAATCCGCGCGGCAATGGCTCTGGCTCTGGCTCGAGCTCTGCACCTGTGCCCCGCACCAGGTGTCGCCCGACCGCGAGGAAATCGTCGAGGAAGACGGAGGAACGGAGCCCGACGATTCCGAGGACACGTATCCGATGGACGGAGGCCTAGACGAAGCAGCCGCGGTCCCTTCGTCCGGGGTTGCGGGGGGAAGGACCGCTCTGCTTCCCGTTTCGTCCATTGCCGTGCAACTGTGAATCGTGCAATTCGGTACTGCGGCACTGCGTTGTTCTGTGCCGGATCGGATCGGATCGGATCGAATTGGATTTGACCGGAGTGAACTTTTGTAGAACTGTATTACTACTTGCTGTGTATTCTCGGAGCCGTACGGTACGGAACAGACACGCTCGCTGCGTTCAATCAATTCAATCAATAATAGCACAAACCTATCACCGCTAATTGAATTTTTTATACCRCTTATTCCTTTTGGGCACGTCTTTTGCGAAAGCAACCGACGAAGACTCGTGAAGGTTGTTTTGTTGCGTTCCAATCGTCGTTCGATCCAATCGTAAAAATCGGATCGTAAACAACTACCACCTGAAAACGTGTAGGTTGTGTACGAAACGCCTACCGTAGCTAAGGTATGCGTTTTCTGTGACACTAACACAGTACGTACCTACGAGTACGGGTGYGTAAGCGTACAGCCTCGCAACACAATATTTTGGATCCCATCGGCATCGCCAATTGTTCCGTCGGGCGTGCGATASTTTTGGCATTGATGTTTTTTGCTCGCGCCACTAGTAAACATGTGCATTTCGAGTTTTCGATCGTGGAACGACTAAGTCGACTCAAGTGACTGAATTTGTTGGGTCGGCAAGGCGGCACTACTATTACTAGTACGTACAAGGAGCTTTCTCCTGATAAACTGTTAACTTTGTCATAGCTCGTGTTGCCAAATGTTGCCAATAGCACTTGCGCACCCACTCACAACCCTCAAGTATGAAGCACTTTATGTTGCTACTACTACTACCCTAGTAGCAGTAGTACCTGCTACTACCAGTAGTGGTAGTACTAGTAGTAACATAAGTGATTCTTATTCTTGGTGCAATTCCCATACCAGAAGCATTGTAGCACTAGTAGTAATAATGAAAATAACTAGTAGTACTAGCTGATGCAACCATGAGACAGTAGTGGATGGAACACCGCAGAGGTGACGGACATGGCTAAGATGTTTTTTCGAGCCGATTCCTTCAAATGAGATAGTATCAGGGGATTGTACTACACCGCAAAGGTAAAAAGCATGGCAATCCGCTTATACCTCAATTGAAGGAATAAGGTTTCTCTTCCTTCTTGACCATTCTTGTTGTTGATGCTTAAGAAGGAGAGACCAACAACCACAATGTTCTACCTTCTTGTTTTACATCAAACGGTAGTTTCTCCAAACTCTTTTTCAAATGCTTTGAATAGTAGCTAGGGCAAAACAGGGAGTCTTCCAAAGTGCTGCTGATAAATACTTTTGAATCGGGCAAGACGAATCCTATTCTTGTTGCTTGCCAGTAGCTCATGTATTTCTCTTTGTTGGATTTGGCCCTCCAGAAGATCCTGACGCAAAAACCATGATGTTCTGCCTTCTTGTTTTACATCAAAAGCCAATTTCTCCAGACTCTTTTTCAAACGTTTTGAATGAA